TGAGGACGGCGCATTGCATCGTCAATTTGTACAGATCCGTATCAAGCAACGAGAAAATACCCTCCGGGAGCGGAAAGGTATTATTTTGAGCCATGACGAGGTAGATTGGACCACACCGCGAGTAGAGGATAGAGTGCAGAAAGAAATTCCAAGCGAGGGACCGGAAGACAGGGACTAAAGGCGCGAGATAAGGAACAAGCAGGCAGACGAATTCGGAGGAAAGTACTCAGAAGAGAAATCTCCCATTGCGTCTCTGCGCGGGGGAATCACCGACTGCCTGACGCCGTTTGCACTGTTTGCACCCTGGCTTTCGTCATCAGCAAATCGCCGGCCCACATCTTTTCTCTATATTGTGATCTCTGAATTTGATAGGGTTTACTATAACAGGACATTTTGGAGTTAATGCAAGAAGTACTTTAGAGATGGAATGTCATGGGTGGCGTTGTGCGCATTTCCTCATCCTCGCAGGAACCCCTCGGGGAACCCCTCCGTCTGGGTCTAGACTGACTGCATCCCACCTGCATCATGCCAAGTCTACAGGGTATGGATATCAGGATACAATTTAGTCAATTACAGAATATACATGTGTATACGAAGAGCTATTATAGCTATGAGAGATATGATTTCCGCCAGAAGCACTGGACATACGGTGCAGCACAGTTGCCGCCAGAGTTGTAAGGCAGCAATACCCCGCCCGTTTGCATAGAGACTGTGGCTGGAGAATGGTTTGGTTTTGGTAAACACGAAGGAAGATAAAGGACCCGCCAGGTACTCTGAATATGTAAATGAAGCTTAAGCCAGTTCACATCTTAGTGAGCTACTACAAAAGCTTTGACGGCCAAGAGTCACATCTTTGGGTCTGACAGTTTAGATCGCCAATCTGTGGCTTGACTGTGTTGATTGTGGCTGAGACTCCGGGTCCGGAACATTCTAGATCCGGCAATCCTGTCGCTCCCTCCCTTCGGCGTCCCGTCGTTATCCCCGATCAATGCTTCTCAGCGCCACCATCTCAGCCTGTACATACTCATCATCGATTCCATCCGTTACGACATCGCGCCGAGTCACGGAATAGCCGACAGCGGGCTGCGTCGCATTCTACACCTTGTTCAACGCGCATCCGGTCGCACCCCGAAGGCCCCCCGATAGCGGCATCATATCAAGGCCCGATTCATTTCGGGAACAGCGATCAGTGAACGCGCAAGATGTCGCAGGCTCAGGACGACCCCGCGGCCGTTTTGGAACTTTTCGTTCACGATGTGGCGAACCTTCCAGCTGAAATCAACCATCTGATGGAAGAAATTCAGGCCAAGGACAAGATCATCCAAGAATGCCGCACGACCATCAACTCCCGCGACACCAGTCTCCAGAAATTCATCCGATTAAACGGCAGCTTGACGCCCAACCCAAAGGAAGAGCAGTATGGCAAAGCCATAATACAGAACCTCGACAAGTCGCAACAGCTGCAAGATGAAAAGATCCAACTGAGCGAGAAAGCATGTGTTCTGCTGGACCGACATATCAGAAAATTGGACATCGCCATCCACAAGCTGCAAAGTAACGGCATGCTCTCGAACGACCCTCCTATCCCCTCCCTCTTCAACAACAAAGACCAATACCGCGACCCTCCCAAGATCTTCTTCCCCGATTCCACCGTCGAAAACTCCTCTTTTCCCTCCCCCCTCAATGGCACCTCCGCGAACGCCAATGTCATTTTAGGCGCCACCCAGAAACTCAACTCCCTGGGCCGAAACGCCGCCGCACTCGCTCTGAACTCCCCGACTGCCGCGCGAAGCTCCGCCCCAGCAACACCCTCAGGCACGATCCACTTTCAACGACAACAACGAGAATCATCCGCCGGCGCAGTGGAAAACAAGCGCCGGCGCCTCAACGCTTCACTCGGAACACTCCCCGCGGCCTCGTCCAACCTCCGACAATCGTCTCTCGGCCCCGGTACACCCAAAGCCGGAACCCCGGCTTCAAGCCGAGCCGGCAGCGCAGGACCGCGCTCAACAGCCTCCACCAAGAAAGCCGTAACCAAGAAAGTGGCCCCGCACCAACAACTGAAGAAGATCAAAGCCTCCGGGCTCAACGGAAAGCACACGAAACGATCCTCCAGCGCAAGCGGCCGTCTCAAAGTCAGCGGGACAAAACAATCCCCCTCCGCTGCCGGAGGCGACGAAGACGAGGACGACTCCATGCTCAGCAGCGCTGATATCTCGGATTCCGAGAACGCCGACGAGGGTAGAAGAGACGAAGACATGGAAGACGAGGAAGAAGACGAAGGCAATGAAGATACCAAGGTGTATTGTACGTGTCGCAGTGTCAGTCATGGAGATATGGTTGCGTGCGATAACGACAATTGCGAGTTTGAGTGGTTCCATTGGAAGTGTGTGGGCTTGACGAGAGAACCTGTTGGGAAGTGGTTCTGTCCGCAGTGTTCGGCGAAATTGCAGGCTTAGTTTGGTTGATATAGTTATACCCCATCTTTCTCTTTTGTCTGTGTGTATTATTATAATGACTATATAGGATGTTATGACGGCGTTTATCTTTGCAGTTCGAATCAATCCAGGATGCATTCGACTTCTTAGTCAGTCTTATATTACTAGTAGTAGTTTACCAGACGCCAGCAAGCAGGTAGTAGTAATTGTGATAGTAGTTCTTTCATCCACTGATGAACCACAGCAGCCCATCCAAACAACCGATAGTACTATATACTACAATAGACAACGCAGCCAACAAAAACCCAAAATACTAGTTAGTAGTATAGTGAATAGCTAATAAGAAGCACCAGGGAATTGTCAAACGGACATACATCCATCCATCCATCCATCCAATCAATCCCTTCCTTCGCTTCCCTCCCCAACACTGCCCATCCTTTTTTCTTTCCCAGAAAAAGAAAATATAATAAAAGCCCTAGAAAATTCTTTTGTTTTTAAGTTGCCCACATTGAGAAAAGAAGACCGTTATTCCATGGCCGATCCCAATATCAGACGTGAACGCCATCGCTATGCAAACAAACATCATCTGGCGCATGCTGCGCTAATTGTATACAGGAATTGTTGTGTGTGATATGAGGTGTAATGAGTACGAGGTAGATAATAAAAGGAGAATCAAAATCCGAGGGCCTTTTCTAGCCAGGGGTCAAAGTATTCGCAGCTCTCGGGACTGACAGCTCCGCCGGGAGCGCAGAGCTTGAAAACCGGACAGTTGCCGCAGGGTGCTTCGGTCATGCCGTTCTTGACTAGCCTGTCGTCGATGCCTGCGTCGTCGGTCCGGGGCTTGCGCGCTTGTTGGGATTTGACTTGTTCGGGGTTCTTGACCGATTTGTAGAATTCGCCGTTGTTCAGAGATACTAGCTTGTTGTCGTAGCAGAGCATCTCTAGGAGCTGTGTGATACTCTCTTCGCCCAGGCGGACCGGTGTGATGCCACTCTCGTTCACGGCGGCTGTTAGCTGAGGTATGGTGGGGTAGCCCTGGTACCCGGCTGGGAAGGGGAGGTACTCCTTTGGTGCGCCTTCTTGCTTGACAGCTACACCTCCGTCCGCGGTCTTCATGCGTTTGTTTCGAGGACCGTCCGAGGACGGGGCCTCGTACCAACTTTTCCGGCTCACGGAGTACTCGATAAAGCCGGCGACGCTGTTGATGAAGTTCTCGTCCAACACTCCGTCGGTAAACCAGGCTCCTCCAGTCACGTCTTCACTCGGGGCGAGGTTCGCCAACATGTACATCTTCCGGCTGGGGAATTTGACATTGTGAACGCTTTTGATGTAGCTTTTCGTTTCCAGGGACTTGAGGCAGCGATCGAGAATGGATTTGTGGAGGTTGGTGCGGTTGCCAATTGCGCGGACCCAGATACCGGATCGTCCTGTCGAATGGATGACATTGTAGACTAAACTCTCGTCGGGGCTTAGGTCTCGAAGTCTAAGCAAGAGGGTTAGTGGGGAGAGTTCCCAAGTCAAATTCTCAAAGATAAGAATAGTCCTACTTTTCAGCATCATCCCGCGAAATAATCTTCCAGGCTAAGCGGTCATTTTTGCCCTGGAGAAGCCGAAAGAGCTTCTGGTTGACGAGCGACTGGGCACAGCTCAAGAGAAGGGCGAGGTCATTCTTGGGGACAATGTTCAGACCCAGAAGATCTTGCTGATAGAACAGATGATCGGAAGGGAACTGGTTGACACAGGCGTCGTAAAGTCGAGAGGCCAGTTCGTTGACCGAACTGCCTGACGGCCCCGCGGAGGCCATTTTCACGACGACGATTGTAGTGGAGTCGTTAACAGGAAACTATCACCGGACGGGCTCGTGAAGGGGCATGATCAAGAATGCATCCCAGGTCGGACGGTCGCTGCAGTAGCCGGGACAAAGCAATGCCCGGGGAGTTGGCAGGGAAAGCAGGCGCAAAGTTGACGGTCGTCGAGAGGGAGAATCGAGTTTCGCAGGCCGAAAAGAAGATGTTTTTGGCGGCTTTTCTTTCTCTTTGGGTTTAGCGGGGGAGTCACTTTGGCCCGGAAGGGTTTAGGGCCAGTCCTAGCTTTGACAGCCTGTGTCTGCCTTGCAGCCTTGCAGCCTTACTGCCTCATGATCTGTGCTGTGGCCTCAGGCTGGAACCCTGCCTCTCGGAAATTTCGAGAAGCTCCCGGCAAAAGAGAAGAAGCTCCGGTTTAACTGATCTGCCCGGTCCAGCTGCCCCCGTCTCTCACTTATTTCCCCAACTCACCACCACACTTCCATCCTTTTGCTTCTACATCATATACCCCTCGGAAGTTATACAGCATGGCTGACGCTCTGAAAGCTGAAGGCAACAAGGCCTTCTCCGCAAAGGACTATGCTACTGCGGTGTATGTATCTTTCTCCCCGGTTTACCCCGCTTGCAAAAAGGTCTGGGAGGATCGAAGCCATGAACCGCAGCTGATTGGCCTATAGTGAAAAGTTCACCCAAGCTATCGAGATCGAACCCTCAAACCACATTCTCTACTCCAACCGCTCGGCTGTCTACTCCGCGCAATCCCAATACGAGAAGGCTCTCGAGGATGCCAACAAGGCTACGGATCTCAAGGCGGACTGGTCGAAGGGATGGCTCCGCAAGGGTGCCGCTTACCGTGGTCTAGGCGACCTCTGTAAGTTGAGAGATGTAGTGCGATGAGACTGGATCTGGGTTACTAATACGTGTGTAGTGGCTGCCCACGATGCGTACGAAGAGGCCCTCAAGCTCGAGCCTACCAACGAACAGGCCAAGACCGGTTTCAATGCTGTCAAGAGGGCTATCGAGGCCGAGGCCACGGCCGACGGTGTCACTGGTGACCCTATGGGAGGCCTCGGTGGTATCTTCAACGACCCTCAGATGTATCAGAAGCTGGCCAGCAACCCCAAGACCTCCCCGCTCTTGGCCGACGCCGACTTCATGGCCAAGCTCCAGCGCATTCAGCAGAACCCGAACAGCGTTGGTCAGGAGATTCAAGACCCTCGCTTCTTGCAGGTCATGAGTGTGTTGCTGGGTATTGACATGAGCTTCGGCGCTCCCCCGGAGGGCGCTAGCTCTGCCGGTGCTGCCCCCGAGGCTGAGGAGGATGTGCCCATGCCTGATGCTCGCCCTGCCGCTGCTGAGAAGAAGGAACCTGAACCGGCACCCGAGCCCGAGGCTGAGCCCGAGGACGAGGAGGCGATCGCCAAGAAGAAGGCCCAGGAAGCTGCTGACGCCGAGAAGAAGATTGGTAACGACTTCTACAAGAAGAAGCAGTTCGATGAGGCTATCGAGCACTACAACAAGGCCTGGGAGCTGCACAAGGATATTACGTACCTCAACAACCTTGGTGCTGCCAAGTTCGAGAAGGGTGACCTCCAGGGCGCCATCGAGACCTGCCAGAAGGCCGTCGAGGAGGGCCGTGAGCTTCGTGCTGACTTCAAGGCTCTTGCCAAGTAAGATACCTGTGGGTGTGACTACCGACGCGGTTACTAATTCAGTTGTCTACAGGGCTTTCGGAAGAATCGGTACTGCACACGAGAAGCTGGGCGACCTTGCCCAGGCCATCGAGTACTACCACAAGTCGCTCACTGAGCACCGCACACCCGATGTCCTGACTAAGCTGCGCAACGCCGAGAAGGCCAAGGCCAAGGCCGAGAAGGAGGCCTACGTTGACCCCGCCGAGGCCGAGAAGGCCCGTGAACTGGGACAGAAGAAGTTCCAGGAGGCTGACTGGCCTGGTGCCGTCGAGGCCTTCTCCGAGATGGTCAAGCGGGCGCCCGAGGACCCCCGCGGTTACTCCAACCGGGCTGCCGCCCTCATCAAGCTGATGGCCTTCCCTCAGGCCGTTCAGGACTGCGATGAGGCCACCAAGCGTGACCCCAAGTTCATCCGCGCCTACATGCGCAAGGCCCAGGCCTTGATCGCCATGAAGGAGTACAACAAGGCTCTGGATGCCTGCACGGAAGCTTCCGAGCACGACGATGGCACCCACGCTCGCGAGATCGACCAGCAGCAGCAGAAGTGCCTGGAGGCTCAGTTCAGCGCCCGTGCCGGCGAGACCGAGCAGCAGACCATGGAGAGAATCCAGAACGACCCCGAGGTAAGTCATGACCATAAACAGAGAGCTTGCAGGATGTCTCGACTAACTCTTCATAGATCATGTCCATCCTCCAAGACCCTGTCATGCAGAGCATTCTGCAACAGGCCAAGAGCGACCCTGCCGCTCTGCAGGAGCACATGAAGAACGCCCAGGTGCGGATGAAGATCCAGAAGCTGATGGCTGCTGGTGTCATTCGCCTCGGACGGTGAGGAGCGAGCAGTATAAATGAAAGCCCACACATTCCTAGTAATGCAAATGAAGAAAAAGCGGACTGGATTGGCACGGCGATTAATTGATGTCTTTGTTTTTTACGGCGATTACGATGCATGTGTTTCTAGTGACATGAGATGACATCCGAATTGATTATCTATCAGTTGCAAATTGCAACGTTTGCTAAGACCCGACTAGTAGTAGTCTACGTAGAAACTTAACCCCCACCCTAGCTTAGGATTTACTAATTGAAGACAGTAGTAGTTACCTAGTGACGGCGATGACCGAGATGCACAATAGCAGTAGACCGCCACGCCACATGCCTGCTCCCTCGCTTAATACTACAGCGAAGCCACATCAAGATTGCAGACAGCCCTTTTTCTGGATCCACATCTGGCTTTAGATCCGAATCGGATAGCCGATATCCGTTCCAGTGATCAATTCAGAGCAGTGCCTGTCTCTTTGACTAAAGTAGTAACTTAACAGATGGTGGTGGGTAATCCCCGATCCCCGACGCGATCCAATACCGAACCACTTTTCTTCCTTTTTCAGCACACTCCAGCCACAACACCACACCACATCACACTAACCCATATCTTACGTTGCCGACATAAGCCAAAGGCAAAAAGAGAGATAGAATAACTCCGTGGTTATCAATTCCGACTCTTCCGATGGAATATATTGATAATTGAGTACTGTAGGCAAGATAATAACTACGAAGGTACTCCGTACCTTGTCTCAAATACTATCTAATTCCCCAGCCACCACCACCTCCTCCCTCTCCATCGACACATCTTCCAATGGTTGGGTTTATCCAGAGAGTAAATTCCGCGGTAGGCGAAACCTCGGACATAAGTGGTAGTTAGTTAGTAGTCTTAGCTTAGGTACCCCACTGTTCGTTCCGGAGACCCAGCCTCAGTTTCCAGTTCCCGTTTTCAGTTCCCAGCCACTCGTGAATTAAACCTCAAAAGGATAACTTAATTTGAGTTTCGTGTTTGTGTTGGATTGGTTTTAACGAGTGCGTCGTCATCGGGTAGCATTCATACCAGATAGATAGATAGGTAGATAATTTAGATAGATAGTATACATAAACTGTTGACTCTTTGTAAGTAGATAAATAGTAGTAGTAGTGGTGGTGGTGGTGGTGGTGGTGGTGGTGGTGGTGGTGGTGCATATCTCCTTTATCTCCAATCGGACCCGAAAGGAATTGTCTGATATCCACTAGTAGTCACCAATGTAGTTATGTGGGACAAATTCGCAGTGAGATTACAATGTGGCAAATTCGTTTTTCTTTTCTCCGCCCATCCATCCATCCATCCATTAAGTCTGGGTCCGTGCCGGTTTTTGTTCATCGTTCGTTCCTGCTGTGGTACGTACGTAGTACTTTTTTTAGGTTTTACTGGGCAGCGGTCTGCCCACTGGGTATGTGTGTGGCTGGTGAGAAGGAAGAAGAGAACAGAACCCGCTGGGCTGAGCTGTAGCTAGTACAATGTGGTTAGTCGGGTTTAATCATTGTGGAAGTCATTTCCGGATTGTTTGCTTTGCTTGTTTGTTAGTTAGTTGGTTGGAGAGGTGGATGTGGATTCAGGGTTGAAATTTCGTTTGGGATGGGGTTTGTAGTGCATGATACATATCATTATTTGTTTGTGAGTACTTTGTACTCTTCTGTAGGATGTGGATGTGGTGAGATTTGCATTACAGCAAGTAGATAGGCCGATCGATGGTGGTGGTGGATTCCCGACACGGGCTGACAACAGTAGTAGTTAAAAGAGAAAGTGAGTGGGAAAATTGCAGATCCGGTGGAACAAAACACATTTCATGTCAAAGTTTTAACTAATTAACCGACTGCTTCTTTTTTTTCTCTTTTCTTGATTCAGATTGGATCTACGATGATTGCGTAGACAGGGTACAAGGGTTTGTTTCATTTTTTTTTTTTTTTTTTTTTGGGTTGCTTTATTTTCTTTTCTTTTTGTTCCTGATTTATAATTGTATTATTTTAGTGTGCTGTAAGATAATAATAAATGCTAAGTGTGAATTGTGAAAGCGCTGTAGCCTGCCTGCATTATAATGTATACTTGCAGATTTGTTTTTTCTTATTGTTGTAGCCTTGGAAAGGATGATGGGATAAATGGACAGTTCATTGCATGCCACGTGTAACAACACCTTGCCACTTTTTACTGCATGGGATAACGATGTTAGCGCTGATGATGATGGATCCCGAGTTAGAAATTAGAGGTTAAACTTGACTAGGAAGGGGTTACGCATGCAGTGTAAACTTGGAAGGGAATCAATCCTAGTACTCTTAGTAGTCTAGTACTACTATTCTCGTTCTTTGGATATTGGATATTAAAATCTCCATACTACTAGTAGTACTCCTTACTAAAGAGGAGAGGGGGTATGGACCTAGGGCTACCAACCAAAGTTGCAGTTAATATTCTCAGGTCAGAATTGACAAATAAGAACGAGCATGACTCGTGGCATTGGGACTGTAGTCAATATGTGCTGGTCAACACTAAGCCCTGGGAGGGTTAGAATTCCGGCTCTAGGATGGTTAGTTAGCGAAGAAAGCCAAACCAAAGCCCGAAAGAAACTACGAGAGAGAGGAGAACTTCGGAAATCAGAGGCAGAGAAACCCGCAATTGTGGCGGAAAACCAAGAAGGGGGGAAAGAGGAGAGGAGAGAAACTCCCAATCGGTGGCGGTGCAGGGCACAATCCATAATGCCAATAGATCGTAGACCGGCGCCCACTAGTCGATCGCGCCGGGGATGGTCCGCTGCTTGACAGGATATCCATGGTAGATGGCGTTTCGGATCGTGCACTCTCGGCGGAGATACTTCTTGTTGTTCGTGTAGGTAGTTAAGGACTGGGTGAAACTGAGGAATACTTTCTATTATTATTATCTTCTGAGGAAATCGGGGAGAAAGATGGAACAGGCCACTGCGATCTGTATGTAGTACTTTGTAAATAGTTAGAGATCTCCTGATCGTTAGTACTTAGGGAGGAGTGAGACGGCGTACCGGGAATCTGGAAGGGGGCAGATGTGGGGAGAAGGGCTCACAGTAATGCAGATGCTGCCTCCACGAGAATTGGTCGCCTTGGAGGCGATCGGTAGCCGTTCCCTTCTCGAAGATCCTCTCTCTTTTTATTTTCTCGTCTTTGCTTTTTTTTGGTGCTCTTGATGTCATGGCCACATCTGCCGCACAGATATTAATATTAATTCCCTTTCTTTTATTATTAAATGAAAACTGTCACAATTTGAGTCCAGTGGTACCGACATTAGGTCGTGCAGCCGTCACCGTTTCGAGTCCCTAACAGTACTACTACTATGTGATATGATATGATGATATATCCCACCTAGGCAATAATAATAAAAATAATCGGAATTGCTGAAAGAGTCTAAATTTGTCTGGATCGACCAAGAATAGCAAAGTGGCCTTCACCAGCCACGATTCCTTTTCCTTTTCCTCTTTTTCCCTGACGCAAGTGGCTAGAAAGTTGCTGTGACTTTTGCGAAACTCAATCCACTCACTCTCTTCGTCCCGATCGATCATCTTCTCGTTTGTCTCCTCGGTATCCCCTTCCCTTCTTCCTCTTCCCCCCCCGTTTCCTCCTCATTACTACGTATCTTTTCCCTTTTTTCCCTCCCTTTCCCTACTCTCCTCCCCCATCATCATCATCATCATCATCCGGCTTTAAACCTTCAGGTAAGTAAAGCTTGTTTCCCGCTTCTCTCTCCCCCAATTCCCTCCTTTCCCATTCCTTTACTCCTATCCCCATCCTACTACTACCTTCCATTCCCCCCGACCATCCCCGACATTTCTCCCATCCATAGCTTTTCCCGGAGCTGCCGTGCCTGAGCCACCTCCCCGCTGCGGAGGCCTTCCACCGTCCCACGGCAAGGCAACCATCCAAACACTAAGCGCCAGCAATCTATCCACTTCCTTCGGCGTGGTCCCTCAACTCCTCTATCCTTATCCACTTTTTTTTTCTTCGCTCCCTCTCTGTGTCCTTTGTAGTACCTTTGTTCGTCTCACATCCTTATTTCTCGAACTTCTCCCCCCCTCCTCCCCTCCCCCTCCCCCTTGCGATTTCCCCTCACCTACCATCACCACCCACCAAACGAATAGGGGAAAAGGCAAGTTCCATTGACCGGATCATCCAGGTTGTACCGGTTGGGGATTTGTAGTAGGTGAATTTTCACCCGAGGCTCGCACCCTCTTCCTCAACCCCCTCAGAGCCATGGCGTCGCAAGACGTAGAGGGCAGCAAGGCCGAATTGAAGCAGCAGGGCGCCATTGAGGTCGCCCAGCAGGCCTCCCAGGACCCCCAGTCCCACCTCCGGGCCGAAGCCGTCGAAAAGGCTCTGGTCGAGGAGACCCGAAAGGCTGGCGTCCCGGCCTATCAATTCGATCCCGATGCATCCCCGGACGACAAAGCTGCCGCAGCAAGAGCCGTAGGTTCTCCCCGAGATTAACGGGTGTGTCGCGTGGGCATCTGTGAGCTGATAAGAGCTTCCCTGGTATCTAGCGTCTCCCCCCGGGCTTTCATCATGACCATAAACCGAAAGGTGTGGCTGTCGTGACCGACAAAGTAAGCTTCATACCCAAATCATTGCCTTTGTCTGTTCTACTTTTTACCTCAGAGAACTATCGCTAAGCACTGTTGGCCTACTATAGGACGACGGCACTCCTGATCAGTACGACCTACCCCCTCCGAGATCCGCCACCGACCTCCTGCAGGAAAAAGCCGACGAGGCCTCGGCTGCTCCAAATGGTGAAGCTCCTGTCGAAGAAGACATGCGCTGGGCTCGCGACCGGACCGGTTGGGCCCCGCAGTTTGAACACCAACCAACACAGGAAGAAAAGGAGGAAGGCACACTCCTGGATCACCAGACGTTCCTGGAGGGAAGACTGGATGACAAGTTCTTTGGAGGTGAGGAGATCTGCAGCTCTTAGCCGCTCGAGGGGAAACTGACCTGACTGCTTAGATTGGTACCACAACGCTGGTGTCATCGTGTTCGCCTGTCTCTCGTCATGGGTTATCGCAGTTCTAGGCGGAGGTTTGGCCTGGATCTTCATTGTCATGGCCGCTTGCAGTACGTACTACCGGACGTCCATTCGCCGCGTCCGCCGCAACTTCCGAGACGATGTGAACCGTGAGATGGCCAAGCAGCGCCTGGAAACCGATACCGAGAGTCTGGAATGGATCAACAGCTTTTTGGTCAAGTTCTGGCCTATCTACGCTCCCGTCCTCTGTGATACGATCATCAACTCGGTTGATCAGGTCCTGAGTACCTCCACCCCGGCAATGATCGACAACCTGCGCCTGAAGACTTTCGTGCTCGGTTCTAAGCCGCCGCGTTTGGAGCACGTCAAGACATACCCCAAGACCGAGGTCGACACCGTCATCATGGATTGGAAGTTCAGTTTCACGCCCAACGACACTATGGATTTGACTGCCCGCCAGCTGAAGAACAAGATCAACCCCAAGGTTGTTCTGGAAGTCAGACTGGGTAAAGGTCTGGTCAGCAAGGGTCTCGATGTTATCGTCGAAGACATGGCTTGCACCGGTTTGATGCGCGTCAAGGTTAAGCTGCAAATCCCGTTCCCTCATATCGAGCGAGTGGATGTGTGCTTCATGGAACCCCCCGAGATCGACTATGTCTGCAAACCCCTTGGTGGTGATACCCTCGGTTTCGACATCAACTTCATCCCTGGTCTGGAGACTTTCATCAAGGATCAGATTCACAGCAATCTGCGCCCGATGATGTACGCTCCGAATGTCTTCCCGGTTGAAATCGCCAAGATGCTGGCTGGCAACGCGATAGACCAAGCCATTGGTGTCGTTGCTGTCACTCTGCACGGCGCTCGCCAGCTCAAGAACCCTGACGCGTTTGCCGGTACCCCTGATCCGTATGCGGTTGTCTCTTTGAACAATCGGGTTGAATTGGGTCGCACCAAGACCATCAACGATACCGACAGCCCCAGGTGGAACGAAACGATCTATGTTATCATTACGTCCTTTGCTGAGTCTTTGACTATTACTCCGTATGATTGGAACGAGTTCCGCAAGGACAAGGAATTGGGAGCTGCCACCTTCCCTCTGGAGAGGCTCGAACAGCAGGCCGAACACGAGGGTCTCTACCTGGAAGTCATGGCAGGCGGAAGATCTCGCGGTGCGATTCATGCGGATATTCGGTTCTTCCCTGTCTTGGAGGGAACCCAGCTTGAAAATGGTCAGACTCAACCGCCCCCGGAAATGAACACTGGTATCGCTCGTTTCGTCGTGGAGCAGGCTAAGGACTTGGACGCATCGAAGAGTATGGTTGGTCAGCTCAACCCTTACGGTGTCCTCCTCTTGAACGGCAAGGAAATCCACATCACGAAGAAGCTGAAGCGCACGAACAACCCTATCTTCCAGAATGCCTCCAAGGAATTCCTGGTCACTGACAGGAAGAGTGCCCGTCTCGGTCTTGTCATCAAGGATGATCGTGACCTTGGCAGGGACCCGGTTGTCGGTACCTACCAGATCAAGATGAACGACATGCTCAAGATGATGGAGAAGGGCCAGCAATGGTTCCATCTGAACGGTGCTAAGTCGGGCCGCGCCAAGCTCCTTCTGGACTGGAAGCCTGTTGCACTGGCTGGAATTGCTGGAGGCTCCGGCTATGTTGATCCCATTGGTGTCATGCGTTTCCACTTCAAGAGTGCAAGTGATCTTCGGAACTTGGAAGCCTTCGGTGCTTCCGACCCATACGCAAGGGTGTTGCTCTCTGGTTACCAGAAAGCACGGACTGTCACTTTCAGGAATAACCTTAACCCCGAATGGGACGAAGTAGTCTACGTTCCCGTCCACAGCCCCCACGAGAAGATTACTCTGGAGGTCATGGATGAGGAAACTATCAATGACGATCGTACACTGGGCTCTGTTGATCTTCGTGTTTCTGACTACGTCCGGGAGAACGAGGAAGGCGGATATGAGATTGACGATGAAAGGCAGCTTATTTCCAGCCCTCTGCGCAGCGGCCGCTCTCAAAAGGGTACCTTGAACTACACCGTTGCCTTCTACCCCTCCATTCCCGTGGTCAACCCTGAGGATGAGGAGAAGGAGGAAGAGAATCTCAATGGCGATGCGGAGGGAGCCGAGCTGTCACGGAAGAGCACCGATTCCAAGCGTGTGGGCGGCCACTCCAAGACTGCCAGCGTGGACTCCAAGGCAACCACTGCTCTTAATGGAACTTCTCCGAATGGTGTTACTCCCGAGGCTCAGAGCAGTCGCGCAAGCCTGGACACGAACGGCACTCGGCCACAAACTGCTAAGGACTCTGAAACAATGTCGGTTAAATCGATCAAGGAGGTGCCCAAGACCTATATCTCTGCGGAGGATCTTACCAAATACGGTGCGTTTGCTTCGATGCCCTTCAGCTCTGTGCTCAAACTGATCTCGTTACAGAATCTGGTTTCATCGTGTTCAACGTGCATGAAGTCCAGCTCTCTCGCCCCAACGTTCAGGTGGAAGTGCTCATGGATGATTACATGTTCCCTGCCTACTCTTCGCCCAAGGTCCGCAGCAAGACGGCCAAGATCGACGATGGTACGTACCCTTCCAGAATATTGTTGTTACTCAGCTAATGATGCATTGTAGTTGGCGATGCCTTTGTTCGTGAGCTCGAATTTTCCAAGATTACTCTCCGGATCATCGACAAGAACAACACCAAGGATGAGAGCGATGACCACACGGTTGCTAAGCTGACTGGAGATACCCTTACCACTCTGCACCGCATCCTGGTAAGGCCCCTCTCTCCTGACTGATTGTCATTAGCTAACATGAAGCAGTATACTCCCACCGACCTTACCCTTCGCTCTGCTCAGGGAGAAGTGAGCAAGGTTACCGTTAGTGCCCGGTATATCCCTGTCACCATGAAGCTCGACCCGACTGAGAGTATCAACAACATGGGAACCCTGGTGGTCCACTTCCTGGATGCTGCCGACCTGCCGTCTGCTGATCGGAACGGCTTCAGTGATCCGTACTGCAAGTTCCGTCTCAACGACAAGGAAGTCTTCAAGACCAAGGTGCAGAAGAAGACGCTGCATCCGGCGTGGAATGAAATGGTTGAGACCGATATCAAATCTCGGATCAACAGCACTTGCCGGGTTGATGTGTATGACTGGGATTTCGGTGACAAGGCCGACTACTTGGGTGGTACCCACTTCGATATTACCTCGCTGACTCCGTTTGAGTCGAAGG